AGTTTTGGAAACAATCTTCTTGTTGTTGTTGGCACACCTGATAATAAAGGCAGCAGAGCATGCCTTAAAAAATTGTCTTTCAAAGCTATAATGGAAATCTCAAATACTCTAAACCTAAGTAAAAGAAAAGCAAAATTACTTTGCAAAAATATGCAACAAAACTAAAGGAAGATGATGTTAGAACCTCAGATTAAAGAGCTGCATAAAATCTCGAATTGTATATCTCGATGAACCTTTAGAAACTTTATTGGAACATCTTATCCCTCATCTAGATATACACATTTTCTTGGTATTACTTCTATGTTTGTAAAAGTATTAATTACTTTGTGGCCTGACTTTGACATATGGCTTAAATTAAACTATATTATGTTTAGAGGTTACCATGGAATAGGTTTGGACGGTAACAATTCACAAAGACTTTTAGGTAAATTAGATGATCTAGAAGTTAATCTTCAAAGTGCAGCTTCTATGCAGCCAAATATAATATTTCTACAACCTGTAGTTAATTGTCTTGGAAAGTTTTCAATTATTAAAAAAAATGGTTTTTAGCTTAGTAATTGGAGAATCTATAGCTGAATCAGTTTTAGATTTTAAAAAATGTTTTTAAAAAACTGCAGCTTCATCTTCTGGAAAAGTTTAACTATGAATTAAATATTAGCTGGAAAGTTTAAATTTTAGTGTACAATCTTGTTCCTTTTCTTCATCATAGTCAGTTTCGGCTTGGTGTATATGCTGAGCAGGCTGAAGAAAGTGCTCATCACTTCCACTATCAAGTATGGAAGCGATATAAGCGTTGTTTGAAACACAATGATTATGCAAAACAGTCAAGAAATGTGTAATTGAGTTCGGTATAAACAGTTTAAAGTCGCCATTTCCTCATTTAAAAATTTTTTTTAAGTAGGTGTTGCTATTATTGTTAAATTTTCAATAATAATCAAATAATTGCTATTGTTAAAAAAGTATTATTAGGAATTTCCATTCCAGTTGTTAATCTTTTTGTTACATTTATTGCATTAAACTTTGTTAATGATAATTTATGTGTCCATAGCTTGATTAAAAAAAAAATTGTTTTAAAATTGTATTACCCTAACTATTTTTTTTAAATGTCTTTTTTATAAGATAAATTTTTAAATTTTGGAACTTTGTTTTAAAAAAAAAAGATGTTTTAACAGAGGAACTTTGGTCTGGAGGATATATTCTAATATCTATTACCTATCACCCCCTCCCCATCAGTATAAGTTATAACTGTTTTTGTAAAAAAAAGTATGTATAAAAGTTAGTTTAGATTTTCAAAATTATTTTTAAACAATTTGCCAACCCCAATAATAAAAATTAAACAAAAAAAATCAGAGTCAACCAAAACTTTCCCTGGCGGTCTCAGAAGAGCACAGTGAATTCATTAGATGCTAACTCTATTATTGATGTTTAACTATGGATTTTTCAAACTCATAAACAGATTTATCTTTAATGAATGAAATAGTATCGCCTAATTTTATCTTGATAGAAGAGAAAAACTTGTTAAATTCAAATATAATGATTCCCTATAATGATCTGTATATATTTGGAATGTAGAATGTTTCTTCTTATATAAACTAATTTGTCTACATGGGTGCATTAAAATATAAATTAATAATCAAGAAAGTAAGTGAAGTTGCTAAATAAGCTACATTCACTGATTGGAACTAAATAAAAGGTAACTTTTACTTATCATCTTCAATCTCATGGACTATATGAACATTAAAATAGAGCTATAAAAGAAGCATTAGTTAAAGTTCTTGATAAAACAGCTGCTTAATGTCCTTATACTATTGAAGGAATATTTTTGTACGACGTGTTAGTAAACACACTTTAACAGAATATTCACCATTTTTTTGATTATACAACCAAGAACCAACTTAAACTGGAGATATTAAATAGGATTAATTTATATTAAAGATCAAGACTTGGAACCTCTTGAAAGTAAAACTTTTAATGCAATTCTTACATCTTCTGTTTTTTTAAAAGACACATTTTACAAATGTCAATTAAGAATATTGAAATTACTCAAATAAACAGCGCAAATATTACAATAAACGTCATCAAGTACCTATTTTTAATCGGTCAAAAAGTGCTTTTAAAAAATCAAAAAAAGATAGATAGAAAAGGAGAAAAATTTTCATTTCGATACCTTATTTAAATGAAAATTTAAGTTTACAGTTTCTTGGCAGTTTAGTTAACCAAAAGGGTACTTTTTTAAAAACTAAGTATGATGTTACTTTTATCAAGCTACATGTTGAAAAAAATGAAATACCATTTTATATTGAATTATTAAACTTTTCTACTATAACTAAAAGGAAAGTTAAAACTTTATGGTGAATGTTATCTACTAAAATTATTGAAATGATATTGACAAGTGCAGTGAATACCTCCAATAGTTTTGTGGAAGCTTATCACTCATTGTATCATACCTGAATCAGATTTAATAAGATCTTACGAAAAAAAGAAGTTACTTCTTCCATGTATTTTCCTTAACTTTCGAGAGTATGAACTTTCAAGTTTTATTCATTGTAGCAATAGAATAAAAGTGAGTGTTTAAAAGTTATTAAAGATATTTGGTCCCTTTACTACAGTTGGAACCAGCTTATACAATGTTGTTAATGACAATAAATAGAAGATAGCATCGCTTCTTTTATGTGCAGAAAAACACTATTGGTTTACAGTTGAGCAAATTTTTTGAAAATCACCTTATGATCAATTTAGTTGATTCAAATAATAGTTTAAAACCTGAACTATTATATAATAAGTTTCCAAAATCTTTATTATCTTAAAATTAAAGATTAACAAATTTTATAGTCTCGTAACTCGTGGTTGTGAGACAATGTGTATAATTAAACAAATTATATTGTCTCATAAAAACATAGAGGATGCTGCTCAAAGGGTCATTTGTAAACAGTTTAGACCAAATGAAAAATTCCAATATGTAATGAATGATCCAAAATGTTTACAGAATCTTTAACAACCGTAAATAATGAACACATCCAACTTATGCATGATAATTATTTCATTGGTTTCTTACATTTTGCTCAAATAGAAAAGTCAATGTTTGTGATAGTCTTCATTCATTATTGAATCACGTTTCTTTGAAACGTGTTCAGTCTTTATACACAAGTAATGCTGATAATAATGAAGATTTGGCTATAGTTTTCTTTCCGGTATAAAAACACACAAACGTTAACAGTTGTCTTTGCAGCTGAAATATTAGCATGTAAATCAGCATCAAAACTAACGTTAATATATTAAAGATGTCGAAACACTTGTTATCATGTTTAAACTTTCAGTTTCTTTTACTCTTTCCTAAAAAAAAAATTCTATAGATGTCTTGTCCAATACAGCTTTTTTTATTATTATTATTATGATTTTTTTTATTGTTTATTTTTGCCGTATATTATTCTATACAGTTTTGAAGCATATAAGTAAAAATAAATATACGGGCAAGAAGAAGACTTATTTAGCCCTATCACCAAACCCCATTCTCACGTATTTGCAAATAACGTAATATTTAAATATCTATAGTTGACAAATTATATGTTAAAATAAAATAAAAAATATTAAAGTAAAATAGAAAACAATTCGTTGTCATTTAAAGAAAAAAGAAAAAGAATCAAAATTTAAAGAAAGAATAAGATCAAGTGAAAAAGAAAAAATAAATAAGATAATATCATTTGCTTAAAAATTAAAAATTTAAATTAAGATTTAAAAATAAAAAGTAAATTTAAAAAATATACACCATGGAGAATGTCGAATACATCTTTTAAAATGTTATTTTGTTTAACTTCTACTTAATTGACAAACGTTAATGTGTATTTCTTATATAAAGCAACAAAAATATTACCATGAGAAAAATTTTTGTTACACATTGAATTGTACACCTGGACATAACTTTTATGTTTTTATACTTAAAGATGAAGATATTGTATTACATTGCAAAGAAAGCATTTTTGATACTTCAATTATTTTTTATTAGTTTTTTACTTTAATATCTTTTTTCCTAATAGATTTTTTCTTTGTATGATATAATATCTTAAAATACCTAACTGGAAACTACCACCCAGTTGGCAAAATTTACTTTTTTTCACGTGAACTTCTCGTGTGGCGGGAACGTGAATTTGACATTAAGTACGGGATGCGAAAACGCGTGATAATAACCCAAAATATTTCGAAATTTTTTGAGTAAATTCACGTCTCAGAAACTACTTTCACCTCGTTTTATTGGAAGATATTTTTCACAAGAATAATACTAATTTTAAGGCGTGAATGCAACGTCTTAAAATGAGTTAAAACTAGTATTTAAAATCTAATTTTAACGTGTAATTTTCGAGTTATTCATGGTGCAAAAAGGATTTTTTATAAAGTTTAAAGACTTGTATAAACACGTAAAAATCACAAGCTTTTGCTGGAAACAATAACTCCTAAATAAACTTAAAAATTAATTTAACTAGAAATAAACTTTAAAAGTTTATGTAAAAAATTTTCTAAATAAACTTATTTTAAAGTTTATTTCTAATTAAACTAATTTTAAAGTTTATTTAGGAGTTATTTTTACAAGTAAAAACTTCTGACTACTTACCTGTTATTGGTTTATACAGGTCTACTGTTTAAAACAACAACTTTTTTTCCAAATATAAGTGTATTTCATATAATACCATTCAAAAAGCAACTAAATATAGATTATCTAACATTAAACCTTTATTAATAACAAATCCACATAAATAAAATATGCAGCATTTAATAAATTTTATTTGACATATTGTTGTAAAACTGTTAAACATACAAAACTGTTAAACATTTTAAAAAATAACTTGTAGTTTTTTTTATATCTTAAACGCCATGGATATCGTTTTAAAATAAGAACTGCACTTGCTTTAGTGGTTAGGGCATGTCAAGCAACTCGTCTTGGTTCAGATATGTTTGACGATACTATCGGAGCATATATTCCACTTCACACTTCTCTAAACGAACAAGTTCTCAGTGATGTGGCCTAATAATAGTAGTAATAATCATTAAAAATATTATTAACTGAATAATTGAACAAATTAATAATAAAACATACCTAACTTTCCATTTTCCATGGTTCCATTTTCAAATCCTAACATATAACTATAAATTAAAATTTATTAAAAATAATTTATTTTACAGAAAACATATACATTTTTTTATTTTAATAAAAAAAAGCTAATAAAAACCTAAACACTTACGTAGCCTGATTCCGTTAATTTAACTTCGATATTAAAGACAAAGGAAAACTGCTAAAATTTACATTGCCGTGTCTATTTTTTCCTTATTTGCAGGCAATTCTTTCTGAATAAACAAATATTTATTATAAAACTAATAAAAAAATTATATTAAAAATAGCAACATATACAACGAAAATGTAAAAATAAAAAACAGAATGATAAAGATCTTACACTTTTACGACTTGCATAATATATCAACAAAGATATCTAAAAAAAAACTGAAAAAGTTGTTTTGATTGTATTGAATAAATTTCATAACAAAAAAAAAAACATTTGCATAAACATTTGTAACATTGTAAACATTTGCAGCACTCTGATCAATTTTACAAAGTATATCATTATATCATATCAAAGTATATCATTCAAATTAATAAACAGAAATCATAGATCCTTTATTGTTGGTTCTCTCAAAAATATAATTTGAATAAAAAAAAGTACCTTACTAGGGGGTGGCATTAGGACTTTTCTTTAAATCGGCGCAATAGTTCAGCTTGAGGCTGTAATAAACCAATTGAAGGTACAACTTCACATACCGTAAAATATGGCCCATTTAAAAAACTAATGTAACATAAAAATAACGAACAAAAATACCAGATAGTTTGGTAGCCAATTCTTGCTATAATATGTTATATAATATGTTATATAATATGTTATATAATATGTGTTTTTCTTATGATAAATTGTTTTTATTATTATTAAGTTGTTTACTTTACTAATTAAAACAAACATTTTATATAAATTGTTTTAACAAAAATAAAAATAATGGTATTCTTTTAAAAATAAAACAGCTTTATATATTTTAATATCTACATACATATCGTATTTGTAACCTTACAATAAACTTATAATAAAAAGATGGCTGGCTAATCATACAGTATTAATTAAGTAAATAACATCAAGTCATTTTAGTGAGCTTTCTGCATAAAACAAATACGCCAACCTTTCCAAAACTTAGCTAGAAAGCTACTTGCTCATATAGAGTGTGTATATAATACATATATACCATGTAATGTTTTTTCATCGTGAAACCGGGTTGACTTGTTCCTGTACAGGAAGGTAAATGCAAAGGCGCTAAATTTAATAACCAGATAATATTTTTTGGGTGTTTTAGCAGTTATCTTCACGTGAAAGAAACTACTAGTACGAGAAGACGTTCTACTAGTTTTGTTCACCCAAACTTAACTTTTAAGACTCTTTTTGGCAATTTACTTATAAAAATTTCCCGTGAAAATGATGTGTAAAAAACCACCCCTAAACTTTTTTGGTGACATTAAAACATGTACTGAAAAAATCTGGTAAAAATAAACACTGGTAAAATAGCAACACATTTTAACATTTGTACAAAATATAACATAACAGATGTAATAAATATAACATAACTCCTAAATTTGTTTATGCACTTTTAAAACATACAAAATCTACCTATAAAACACAATAACATTAATAATCTTAATATTAAGACAACAAATTACTTTATTAAAATTTTCATGGTTTTTTTATTGACTCTTAAAATAAGATGAATATTAGGCTCAGCAAGTAAATTTATTCAAACCTAAAAGCAGACTGTAATTCAATTTAAACTAAACAATAATAACAAAATAAGACAGCTTTCTAAATACGCGAATAAAGTTTTATGAATCTAAATGCACTCTATATCTTTTTTTTTTAATTTTTTAAGTACTCTGAAATTTTCATCTTAACAATTTTTCAGACATTGTTAGAAATTTTTTAACAACGGCAGTCACAATAAATGATAAGAGTATGGGCAACTCACGTGACATAGATATAAGGTCGACAAAATTCTTTTTTAGAACATTATTGCCATATAGAACGTTTACTTTTTCTTTTAATGGCAATGACATTACAGAATTAATATTAGTTCGAACATGTTCTTTTGCAGACCTACAAGAAAGTGACATTGTTTCTAGAGATTTACGAACTTTCCTTGCGAAGTCAGTATTTTGTAAATGTCCTTCAAGATCCTTTAACTCAATTACCGTTTCTGCTTTATTTATTAAATCAGCATCATCTGCATTTATAGCAGATATGTACTTCTGCATCAACATAATTTTATTATTTGATTTTTTCATTTCATTTCTAGTATCGGTGATTAGATATAGCATACGATATTGAAAGTTGCCTATCTCAACAGGAAAATCCTCCTGTCTTTACAGCTTTCGACGCTCTAAAGGTCGATTTTCAATGCTGTTTTTTTTGTGCTGTTTTTTAAAGGACTCTCTGACCTGATGATCAGATATTGAACGAAGGCTTCGATCTCTTATTTTTGTGACTTTTTCAACAAAATCTAAAAATACAAAAGCTTACATTCCAATATTTATACCTTTTACTTTTTACTTTCATATCCTATACTATTTGACAGCAAACTTAGTTTGACAAAATCTTACGCAATACAGAAACGCATTTATAGTATAATTACAATACAGTACATATAAGATAAGTTTACACAAAGTTTAGACATTATCAGCCAACAAGGGAAAACTTCTTGTGTAGTCCAAAACATATAAAACTATACTAAAATAAATATAACCAAAAAAAAAAAATTTAATTAAAATTTATTTAAACAATGTGTTCTTTCGTAATTATTAAAAATCGATTTAAAAAGAGGCAGGTAAAAAAAGTTAAGGTAATAATTAACAATGTTACATATTAACCACAATTCTGCTCATCGTCTTCAACATTATCCCATTCATTGTCATTGTCATTTTCTGTTAAAATAAAATAATCAAAATAATTATGTTTATCATTTCAACTATATCACTAAAATAAGTCTTAATTTGAAGAATAAAATATATAGCATAGCTTTACCATGATTTGTTGATTCATCATCAGATGAAACAGATGAATTATCTGTTTAAGTGATTCAGGTTTATTATTATATATATTTATTATATATATATATATATATATATATATATATATATATATATATATATATATATATATATATATATATATATATATATATATATATATATATATATATATATATATATATATATATATATATATATATATATATATGTATATATATAATATATATATATATATATATATATATATATATATATATATATATATATATATATATATATATACATATATATATATTATATATATATATATATATATATATATATATATATATATATATATATATAAAACCTGCCCAGGGCTTCAGTACATACATCGACTGACAATCAGCCTGCGAGTCAGGCTAATTGTCAACTATATTATAGTTGAAAATGTATATTACTAGTGATATACATTTTCAACTATATCACTAAAATAAGTCTTAATTTGAAGAATAAAATGTATAGCATAGCTTTACCATGATTTGTTGATTCATCATCAGATGAAACAGATGAATTATCTGTTTAAGTGATTCAGGTTTATTATTATTATATATATATATATATATATATATATATATATATATATATATATATATATATATATATATATATATATATATATATATATATATATATATATATATATATATATATATATATATATATATATATATATATATATATATATATATATATATATAAATATATATATATATATATATATATATATATATATATATATATATATATATATATATATATATATATATATATATATATATATATATATACTATACATATATATATATATATATATATATATATATATATATATATATATATATATATATATATATATATATATATATATATATATATATATATATATATATATATATATATATATATATATATATATATATATATATATATATATATATATATATAAAACCTGCCAAGGGCTTCAGTACATACATCGACTGACAATTAGCCTGCGAGTCAGGCTATTTGTCAGTCGATGTATGTACTGAAGCCCTGGGCAGCAGGCTATTTGACGTTAGGTGAGTATGACATCATCACGCTCACCTAAATCAGCAGTATAAGATATATATATATATATATATATATATATATATATATATATATATATATATATATATATATATATATATATATATATATATATATATATATATATATGCTAGGTTTTGTTTTTATTTATTTAAATTTAATGTTAGCTTTAGATGGAAAAACTTTATCTAAAAAAAGATTCTTAGGAACTATAGGAAAAATTTTTAACATAGCAACAAATCTTTCTATTTTGACATACATTCCTTAGCTTGATTTTGCTGTAGACCTAATTCATCCCGAAAAGGAGGTTGTAGATTCATTGTCTACAGATCAGAAATATTTATTCAGAATATATAATGCAATAGCCTCAGGTATTTTTCCTGATGACTTAAAGGAGATTCAAATTGGTCAACACACAATCATTCAAGATTTTTAAATCTTTTAAATAGCCTACTTTGAATCTGGTCCTCAGAGCATGGTTTAGAAAACAAAGATCTACAAAACTTGAAATTGTTAACAGAGTTCATCATGAGTATTTATTCTATAATGTGGTTTGATCTTAAGGTAATAAACCTAGTTTTGTAAATAAAGAAATAATACAATAACTTACTTAAATAATATAACTTATTTTAATAATTGTAAAGCGATTGCAGCTATGCTAAAGAAAATCTATTAACTTTAGACTAAACATAGCTGAATTCAAGGTCCACGTCATATCCTTAAATAAGTAGCCTTGGTAAAGAAACAGAAAAAGTTTGTGAGGGATATTGTATTACCGCATGTCTACTTCTCTGCTTTGAATGCACACAGTGAATGTATTCTTCAGAGCAATCTCTGTAGTTCAGATGAGGGAGAAAGAAGTTTTGCAGTGCAGAAAATAATTGATGTAAGAAAAAATAAGGACATTGAAGATAGAAAATGCAAAAATAAAAGAATACCAAACTCTCAAATGCAGAAATAAAAGAATAATAAACACTAAATCATATAGTCTAACAGATTTAATCAATTGAGAAAATTAGGAGATCAGTGAACCGGTTCTTACTTGTTATATGATGAAAGATGATATTATACAGTTTATTAAATATTAGGGTTCATAAGGGATACAATGGCTCATAGAGAACTGATGCCTGTGTGCCAATTAAAGAATGATCTGATAAAAATTTTGTAATCAGTATTTTAATTTTTTATTATGAGTAAACAATTTATTTTAAAAACAATATGCAAAAAAATGCTGTTATCAATAATAGAATGTCTTATTACGCGTATTGACTTAATATACCATAAAATTATAATTTTTGATGTAACTTTAATATATTATTGGTGTAATTAGATTAACTGAGACTCAGGAATTTCTTTAGACTTTATTTTATTGAGTAGCAGAGTAATTTTCATAATATTGCACAAAAGATATATTTATGAAAAAACTTTTATTATTTTTAGGCTAAAAATTACCAGACTAAACATTAAATGCAAATAGTAAAAGAATGGTTCTCGGTATCATATGGTCAAAGACATAACAAAAATATCTAGCCGAACCTAAATTCAAAAAATCAAAAGTGACCCACATTAATATATACATATATATATATATATATATATATATATATATATATATATATATATATATATATATATATATATATATATATATATATATATATATATATATATATATATATATATATATATATATATATATATATATATATATATATATATATATATATATATATATATATATATATATATATATATATATATATATATATATATATATATATATATATATATATATATATATGTTTATATTAAATACATATATTATATACATATATTATATTATATACATATATATACAAGTATTATAATACTATGAAAAAAATTTACTATTTAAAATGTTTGGCTATAACAAAAGTCTTTAGTATCTAGATAGAATCACTTTCATTTATATAGTGACTTTCCAGGCAGATGTTTATTTCATTATGAAGTTATCAATCAGTTTTCATGTACAAATATATTTATTTATTAATTTACGTAATAATGTTTAATATTACTTTTTTATTTATTTATGTTTTGGTACAATAGAGAGCAACAATAGTTGCAAAAAGGATTGGTTTGAATTCGCTAGTTATTGCTACTATTTTTGTACTTTAAATGATTCAAATGGCAGAAGATGGTGGCATTCTTATTTAAACTGCTTAGAAAAAGGAGGAAATTTGTTAAGTATAGACGATGAAACAGAATACGTTTTTATTTTAAACACTCTTAAAAACTACAACATGAGCAAAAGTAATTATTGGATTGGTACTATTATCTTATTATACTAATTTCTTTGACTTTTTATTTCAAAATATTATTTTAAATTTAGATATTTTGTTATTAATATAGGTCTTTCTGATCGTTGGTATAACTCATGGTTTTTGTGGTCTGATAATACATATTTGCAGTATATACATACTAAGTTCAATGGATTATTTTATGATGTTAAACTTGAAAAATGTGTCATAATAAATAAAGACTATTGGGAAATAAAGAATCTTAACAGCTTAAATGGATTTATTTGTAAAAGTAGAAGAGGTTATATTTTTTATATTACTGTTTTAAATATTTTTGCTCATCTTCTTAATTTTTACTTTTTTTTGTTGAATCCAGAAATATTGAATATTCTATACAACAGATTTTTTTAAAATTATAAATATTGTTTGCTTTGCTTCTTAACTTTGATTTTACAAAAGTATACATAAGCAAAGTATTTTTTTTTTCAACAGTTACAGCACCAAAAAAATAATATTGATTTGTTTAACTTCTTAATTTTAACTAAGTTGCTTTCACTACTATAAATACATTCTTCACTACTAGTTCTTTCGACTAGTTTCATCCTTCACTACAAATTCGTCGGACTAGTTTTATTTTTCGATTAGTTTCATTCTTCGACTAGTTTCATCCTTCGACAAGTTTCATCCTTTAACTAGTTTATTTTTTGCAATTGATGATAATGATAAAGTAATGGCAAAAATAATTGTGAATTGAAAGTAAACTTGAAAAAAATCATTAAAAGGATTGCGTTAATTAGAACGAAAAAACCGCATAGCTCAATACGAATGGTGCTACATCTACAATCAAGCAAAGTTCTCTAGTAATTTAAAACATGATCCAAACCACCATTATCATCTCATTGTTTTAGCCTATTTTTTAAAATAAGTTTTTATTTATTAAATCATACTTCTTTTAGCATTCAACAAACCTAATAGCTCTTACTTAACACCATGGTTTTAATAACGTAAAGTTACAATGTTTCGATCCATCTATATGAGAATATCAACAATAATTGTCATAGTTATTAGCTGTAAACAACTGAGTTTAGTATGGGTTAAAGTTTTTCAGCCACTTAACTCCGCTAGCTGTCACCAAATCAATTCTTTGTTAACCATTAAGAGTTTTTAATTCTTCGTTAATAATTAGGTTTTACCAATATATTATTAAAAATAATATATTGGTAATATTATTATTCATATTCCTATTGTTTATTATCATTATCAATATATTTGTTGAAGATGGTATAAATCAGAACCCATTACTTGTTAATAATTATTCAAAAACTTCTCAATAGATTTGTATACTTTTTAGACACCATAAAGTTTATCAAGTAACTTATTTTTTCAACAATTTTATACATTTTTTATTGAACTATTTGATAGAAACAGAATGACTTAGTGAGTAATTAACATTATTTGCTGAAACTTACACTGAGCTCCTGTTTTTGAAGCGGCTGTCTATTTTATCATAAATTCTTTTTCACCTAAACTTATTTTCTTGTTTTTAAATGAGACTTCTCTTACAATTGACTTTCACTAATTGCTTCTTAGGACAAGACGGAGAGTATGCTACCGTAGGCGCAACTTTGACATTTTGTTCATATCATTCTAGAGACTTCTTGGAAAAGTAGATTGCAGTCAAATCAGACACATCTATTGAGAGCATATCATGCTTTTTGATGAATGACGAAAGGCATTTCTTTAAGTACTCTTATGTTATAGTCCATACAATGCTCCTGTCATAGTCTTACAAAACTGCTCTCCAGAACTCTCTTCAACTTTCTCTAAACTGTTTAATAAGTGCTCGACTGATTCTTACTTTCCTGTCTACTGGAAAATGGTGTCTGTGATTTTTAGGCCAAGTTTCTCACTTTAAATCAATTAACTTACTGTCAGATAATCGATACTATTTTTTATCTCCTTTTTTACGACTGACATGTTTACTGTAACTGCCGATACTCTTCTTCATTTCCAGTTACTTCTGGTTTACCTCAATGTTTAATCCTTGGTCTTGTTTCTAATCTATATTAATGATCTTCCTAAAAACCTTGCACCTAAAGTGACTTAATGCTTTATATGGCTGGCTGAACTTTATACTCTTACATTAATAAAGATTCTTTTTATTTAAAGCACTTAGAACAGGAAACCGATCTTGAATCTCATCTCATTTCTGTATCGGATTGAGGCTTCATAAGTTTCTAAATATTAACTTTAACAAAACTAATTTATTTGATGCAAATAACTATCACAGTACTGTCAACATTCCTATATTAATGAATGGCAACCCTCTCACTTAACAATAACTCTAACCCTGAAATCATCTTGGATCATTGTTCACTGCTTACCTCTCATCTCATCGTGCTCACATTTTCTTTGTTCTGATTCTAGTCTCTACTTTTACAACTCTCTTGTGTGTGTCCGTGTATGGAATACTTTTTTTATATTTGTGTTTGCTCTATTAATGATTCTCATTTTCTGTGATAATGGCTGATCGTTAGAAAACTTTAGTATTATGTTTTTAACTTTTAACATCAGAGTTAAAATAAAATTAAACAAAAACGTTGCATTATCAATCTGTTTTGGCAAAATGTTCTAGATTGGTTGAATATGATGTAACAGGTTTGAGAGCTAGAAAAGATAGACAATCTTTTATTAACACTTTTTGTTATTCTTGAAAGTAGTGCGCTTAAATTATATCAAGAACTGGGGAAGAGCTAAAAAACCCTCACGTCAGATGCTGAAAAAGCTTTATTAGATGCATTTTCAATTGATGGTTTCCGAGCTTACAAGCAATTCCGAGATCGGAGATAAAATGACGGAGAATCCGTTGATTTGAATTGGCTGGTTTGCGTAAACTTATGGGTTTGGGAAATTAAATTTAAAGCAAAGAACTATTGTTAAGGGCGTTCATAACTGGATTGTCAGGTGAATTTTTAAATCATCCATGAGAACCAAATGTAAATACTTAGGACTAGTTTACAGGGTGCATTAAACCATGCAAGAGTACTTATATTTGAAGCAAAAAAAAAAAATTGTTTAAAATATTATCTCTGAGTTCTATAAATATGTTATAAAACCATCTGCTATTGATTTTAGCTGCTAAAATTTTGGCAAGTTTTGACATGTTGTCCAATTCTATTTAAAAAAAAAAACAAATTGCTAGTGAAAGAATAAATTGTTTTAAAAGTGGAAAATCTGGAAACGTTTCGTAACTTTGTTGGTTGCATCAGGAAAACTCAAATAAGGAATTGCAAGCGTCTGCTGTTTACATAAATAACTAATGCCGCTTCTATTATGTATTGTGCAGATTAATATTTTTGCAGGAGAATCATTGGTTTACAGTGGATGTACTGGAACTATTATTTCAAACAAAATAACTCTGAAAGCTGGTGTTCGTATCAAAAGAAATGAAAAATGAGGTTAGCATTTAAAGCAGGATTTGTAAAAACGGAAAAAGAGGCTACAATACTATAGACCATTGAAGGAAAAACTAAAAACTTTGAACTAAAAAAAAACATTGAACTAAAAACATGAGTAATAATTTTAAAAAATGTTCTCAACATTTTTAATGCTGTTATTGGTATGGATGTCATTATTCGGTGTGAGGGAGTGCACTTGGAAAAATTTAATTTGGTTTTCTTTTATATAGAGAGAGAAACACGCTATTGGTATAAAAGGACAAGAATTTCCATGCTTATTTTGATGATTGAAAGTGGACTGCTAAATATAAGAGGAAACAAAATAAACCCTAAATAAGGAATTGTCCTGCAGTACAAGGTAAACCCAGTTAATATATAAATTTAATAAAGTTACAAACTCAAAGGTGAATAATGGCTGGCCGAAACTATGTAATAATGATAAAAAGATTATAAAAGGGAACTAAATGCAGTAGAACAGCAAAAAAAATGAAGATACGACCTGTTTTGGACTTACCGAGTTAATTCAGTATGTTAATGTCTTGATGCTTGAAACAAAAAAGTGAGAAATAGGAGGCATGTTAGTAAAAAGTTTTCAACGTTTGATCTCAGATGTGCCTACAGACAAATACACATCAATCCAACTTTTTAGGAAATACTAACTTACCGTCTTTGTTTACACATAAATATATGTCCCAAAAAATAAATCTTTATTCTTTGGCCGTATGTTAAATATCAATGCTGGCATTAGAATGGCAACTGACCACAACACTAATGATATAATTGTTAATTTGATTAAAAATTAGATTAGTTTAAAATGTCGTAAATCATATAGCGCCTTATAGATTGGTAACCAAAAAGCCAGAGCAATGTAGTACTGCATTAGTGTTGGATTTGCAACTATTTAGAAATGAAAAAAAAAACTTTGCGGGAAACGTGGAAACAACATTCTAAAGTCTCGTGATATCAAAATAAAAAAGTAACGCAATGACTTTTTTAACTATGTGGTAACTTATTAGATAACAATCCTGTTGAAAGTTGGCTCAAAATTGCGTGCAGTTTTATAAAACGTCACAGTCAAGGAGACGCTAGGGATAATCAAATCGGAGATCAAGCTTATTCATGGTTGATTGAAATATTTCGCTGATTGGAAGTTAATGATTCTGTTTGAGGGTATGGAATGCTGAGTGGATCCAAAATAGAGCAACGTTTTGATGTGATGTAAGCAGCGTAGCAATAAGAGTTGCTATAGAATAAGATGACTATGCATACACAATAGAGGATGCAGTCTGACTTCGAAGTAATAATAACGTCATGCCTAATAATTTAGCTAAACTAGATGTTGTGGTGCGTAAGAAACATAGCCGCTAACTAATATGTAAAGAATTGGTCAGTATTTACTTAACAAGTAAGAGTTTATGGATAGTTAAAAAATCTTTTCATAGAGAGAGTTTTCTTTTAGCTCCACATTTCTATTAATTCAATTGATCGAACCTTGACTTTTATTCAGCATATAGTTTATCGATGGTTAAAAAGGTTTTAAACTTAGTTTTTTTTTAACTTTCAGTCAGCATACAGTTCATGGATGGTTTAAAACTTTTTAATCATCAATGAACTGTATGCTGACTGAAAGTCAAAGTTTCGATCAACTGAATTATCAGAAATGTAGAGCTAAAAGAAGACTTTCTCTTTAGCATGATTCAAATGAGCCGATATAAATCTAATAAGATTGTCAAGCCTAACAAGCATAAAGTAAAACAACCAGCTGCAAGGGCACATACATATTCGTCACTAGCGGTATTTTAGTACAATGCAACACTAAAGAATTGGTCCCACGAGAAATATGCACTTTTCTCTCAAAAAATAAGTACTTCTGGTGTTTACTAATTTAACAGAAAAAAAAGTTATTGAAATTAAGGAAGGTTCACAACAAGTTATGCAAACTTACATAATTGGAGAAAAAGTTTATGTTTTTCCCGCTGATGCAAATTGCTCTTCTCTGGTTTGGAAAACTAATATTGTAACTGACATACTAACAAACACAAATATTGAAACTGACAGTGTACCAAGACATGCGCAAGATATCAGAAAAGTTTTTTTCTCAAGTTCTTCAAAAGCTTCAAGAAATTTTTTAATTAGTAAATAGTTTGAAGGTGATGCATTGATTTAGAAGATTTAGGTACTTTTGATGCACAAGAGGGTGAGAAAAATGACGGCAAATGAATCGTTGATAATTTATTACCAGCAATTAGACAACCAATCAGAGAAAAGGAAAAGTTGTTATATTTAATGGGCTATGTTACTTAAAAGTTTTTATATATACATATTACTATGTTACTTTATAATTATGTTTACAACTATTTTTGCAATAATATTATTGAGTTAACTTATGTATTTTATTACTGCTAGTCATAATCTCCGTTTTATTATATAATTGAGAATTGAGCCGTTGAGAATTTGTGTTTATGTATAAAAGTTGTAAATAGAATTTAAAAAAAAACAGAGTTAAATAAAAATAAAAAAAGTTGTTGTATTAACATTTTCTTATAGACAATGTCAAAAAACGCATTGTAAAGTAGTTAACCTCTCTATCTACCAAGCTTGAGTCTCTCATCCTTTATCATAAAGTTGCATTTCTTTCTCTTTTTAATAAATACTATCACAATCGCTGCTTAAAGGAACTATTATTTCTAGTTCCACCAACTAAAAATCTATTTCGCCTAAATCTATTATACGTAATTATTATTTATTTATTTTATTACATTTTAGTACTTGTAGTATTTGTTGTCTTAGTACTTGTTTACTCATTTTAATCTGACAGCAATAATAGCCAATACTTATTACAGTTAAAAAATATATAAATATTTACAGTTAAAACATATTTAAAAATTGTCAAGTAGTTCTTGAGTAACTATTGAATTAAAGGTGATGAATTTTATTTGACCAAAAACTATTATTTCTGATTATTACCAAATTGAATTCAAGAAATTTTAGTCAAATGTTTTTGAAATTAGGTTAATATTAGGAAAAAATAAATATCAAGAAAAAATTTATTAGCTGTTGACCGTATTTAAATTTAATTAATATTACAACTTATCAAAAACATTTGGTAAAAACCATTTATAGATGCTTTGTGATTGTATCGAAAATCTATATTTTCGTAAGTATCATTTGTGGTATATCTCTTAATTAACATTTAAATAAATAGTCCGAGAATCCAGACAACATAGAGATATTTTAAATTTAGTTTTTTTTCTAAGCAAATTTAAATAAGTTTTTTTTAAATAACAAAATAATGAGATACAGGAGATGATGAATATATATACAATTGTATATTCGGCAGAGATAATAACCCAGAGACATCAACCCTAACCTAGAGATAAATATGAGATATAAAATAATAAAATGAAAGAGATATTAGATAAGAAGTATATAAGATGTATGTTACAGGGTTTATGCGAAATATAAAACATTTTTTAAGAAAATATAAAGCATTTTTTAAGAAAATATAAAAAATTTTTTTAAGAAAATATAAAACATTTTTTAAGAAAATATAAAACATGTTTTAAGAATATATAAAATAAGTTTAAAAAATTTATAAAACATTTTAAAAATATATATGAAACATAAAATAAAATAAACTTTTAAATAAACTAAAATGCTTTATATTTTCTTGAAGAAAATATTTTCTTTAAGAAAATACAAAACATTGTAGTTGAATCAATAGTGCATTTATGATACATAAAGTTATTCATAAATTTCTAAAGAATAAAGAGTATTTTTTATATAATTATAACTCATTAAACTTAAAGATATAATAAAAAAAACAAAGTATCCACTTTAGTAAAATTCTTGTCTTGCTATGGCTTTTAAAACCCATCTTCTCATATTATAATACCAACCACAAAAATTAACGCCAATTGTCGGTATAAGCGAACTTAAAGTAGCCTTAACTTCATTGCTAGTTTTTGGAAACGGCTTTATAGAAGTATAATTAGCTTTAAGACAACTAAAGTATTCCTCAATCGGGTTCAATTGTGGTGAATAAGGTGGCAAAAAGTAAACGGAAACACTGGATTGGCTGAGCAAATTGATTACATCTCTTCTACGGTGAAATGCACAATTACCCAACACAAGTACAGAATGGGGATTCGTTTGGAAATACGGTCTTAAATTTTTGGTTATAAAATCGCATAAAAGATTGCCGTTATAGGCACCATCCACTATCTTAAAGCTTAAAGTACCATTAACTGTTATAGCGGCCATGAGACTTACATTCTTTCCACGATTTGCTGGCACTGTAACAAAACATTTTGTATTCTTTATAGAATAGCCATACTGCTTAAAAGTATGTAAATTAAAGCCTGTTTCATCTAGAAACACTAAGTTATTGTCAGTAATTGAATAAATAGTCCTGCAAAAACTTTGTCTTAAATCAATGTTTTGCGGCGAGTTCCTTTCTTTTGGTACTAATATAAATCGTTTTCTAGTGAACTCCATCGACTTCAAATATTTAGATATTGTTGGTATAGATGCATTAATATTCCTTTCAACGAGAATGTTTCTCAATGATGCTAACGTATGAGATGGATCATGCTCAATTAACATTCGAATTTCAGATTTAAGTGTCTCGTCATAAGAGCTGCGCCTTCCTTTTTTTACTGATGCAATTTCATCATCACAAAGTCCTTTACAGATTTTATCAGAAATAGAACGTGTTGCAGAAACTGATATTTCATCTTCTTCCGCTATTTCTTTTAATTTCATTTTTTTAAGAATTGACTTTCTTATTGTTTTCACAATATCCTTTGTAATAAGTGTTCTTTTTTTCTTTGTCTCTCGTTTTCCATTTATCAATTAAAACAACAAAATAAAGCTTGAATAATATATTTTTACAGATCTCTTTCTTTGTTGTGAATAAACCACATAAATTCCATAGTATAGAGTAATTACGTAATTGAATATTTTATGTTAAAATATTAAACATTTAATTAACTAATTAAATGTTTTATATTAGCATAAAATTTGTTTTATATTTTCTTTAAAAATGTTTTATAGTTTCTTAAAAAATGTTTTATATTTTCTTAAAAAATGTTTTATATTTTTTATTAACAAATGTTTTATATTTCGCATAAACCCTGTAAAAAGTAGATGCAAGTAAAAGATAATGACAATTCGGAAAAATAACATTATCAGATGTATGAGATAATAGATAAAAGAATAATTAGATAATAAAGTATTAAAAAGTATATATTAATGAGTAGTTAATAGTTAAAGATAATGATCAACTAAGCCCATATTTTTATAGATGACCTGTTAGAACAATCAAAATAATCTCCTGTAGTTTTTTAAAAGGAGTATGACCTGCTTTGATATTTTTAACCGTTATCCACGCCAAGCCGATTGTGTTTAAATTCTTACACCAACAAATTGTTAAGGATAAAATGTCTTAATGATTATCGATCAAAATATCTAAGCCTGTTCACCTTGGCTTCATGTTATCTGGTTATTCATATATTTATATATATTTATATATAAAAAAAATTTTTTTGAGTTTAAAAATATTTTTAACTTGTAAAGTCAAGTTTTATAATGTTTTCTAACATCCTTGAGCGTAAATATGTGTTTTGAAAAAAAATTAAAATAACTAAAAAAAAAATAAAAAAGTTGGCCAGAAATGTATAAATGGACTCCTTTAAATAAAACACTTGTTCAAACTTAAGAGTTTTATCAAAAAACAATTCACATAAACATTACTATTGATCATTTAAATATAACCTTTAGAAGTCTAAGATTAATAAGCATTTGGCAATATTTTTTCTATCAAATTTTAGAAATCAACATAGTGCCCTTATTTGCATCCCTGCACAGGTTTGACACTTTTTTCACTACTTTTCTATATTTGTAATCAAATATTGGAATTCCAAAAATCTTTTTTTTTTCTATATATAAATTTATTTATTTTATGTGTTTTGTATTGTTTTGTTGAGTTCTATCTCCTCTACCACTTCTAATCTAACTTTTGTTTTTGTAATTTCTTCACATTTCATTTCCAAACGTTGCAGGAATTCGAACACATGAATTTATAAATTTCTGATAACTTTAACTATGCACCTTTTGCAGTTAGAAATAAATAAAATTCAAGGACTTTGGTCTTTTGTTAACCTTTCATTTGACATTATTTTGGTTCCATAAGCTGGTAGATAAGGAAATTTAGCAACGCAATGTCTCTTCCCAGCACTATTTGTTTTAAGTTCAATTTTGTTATTTTGTCTTTACTTACTAAAGATACATTTTTATTATCAATCATAAAGGAACACCATTATGTTAATAAATCACATTCAAACCATCATTGATCACAAACTGTAAAACTTCTTTTTTTCAGATTTCATATAACTGTATACATTTTTCTTCATGGCTGTTTTCCATTATTTTTAACTTTCTTATAATTTAGTTTAAATGCAAATGCATTAAGACCCATTTTTCCCATTTTATCAGTTTTATTTTTATCAGGAATTTTTTGGATTAGTCTGAAACAGGTGAAGTATATGACATAATAAATACTCTTTTTTGTGTGAGTTATTATTTTATTTGTGTTTAATATTAACATAAAAATTGTTTTTTAATAAATATATATTTTAGCAACCAATCATATTTGCAATGAAGGTTATGACATAATAAATACTAATTTACTGTTGCTCTTTTTTGTGTGAGTTATTATTTTATTTGTGTTTAATATTAACATAAAAATTGTTTTTTAATAAATATATATTTTAGCAACCAATCATATTTGCAATGAAGGTTGGACAGGTTATAGAAAATATTGCTACTTTGTTCAAAGTACAAATGAAATATTAGGTCAAACTTGGATAGAATCTTTTTCATCATGTCAGTCTAAAGGAGGAAATTTGCTTAGTATTGAAAACCAAGAAGAAAATCAATTCGTTCAAAGCAGTCTAATCAAAGATAATGCAGATTATTGGATTGGTATGATTTTTTTTTTCATACTGCATTGAAACAATTATTTAGGCATAATTTAATATAAATAGTTTTTAAATAGGCTTAAATAAACTTTGGAATTACAGAAGGTTTGTGTGGTCTGATCATACATACACTCAGTTTTTCAATTGGATTGGAGGTGAACCGAACACTGCTGATGATGTTAAAAATTGTGTAGAAATGAATTCCAATGGGTGGCGTGACAATGAATGCAATACTTTAAATGGGTTTATTTGTAAAGTTAAAAGAGGTTTTACTATTATTATTTATCAATAACTAAAACCTTTTTTTATTACTTTTTATTACTTTGATAAAAATAAAACTTTTAGAACTTTGGTACCATTGCTTAATATATCCTTTTTCTTTTTTTAATAATATTATTATATGGACTATGCATGCTATGTTCTATATACTTTAGAATGTATTCATTTTAGTATTGTTATTTGTTGTTTTAATAATAGTTAAATTTGTTTTTCATTTTCCGTTTTTTTTAACTTGTTAGTAGTTTCCTTGTTAATATATTGTAATCGCAATTGTTGTTTCCTCATGTTGCCACTTTATTTAAATAAATTAAAAATTTTATTTTTAATACTTTTGGTTTTTTTTTTTATTTAAATGGCAATGTTTTGATAAAATATTTAATTTTAACAGATAATACCTGCATCAATCTCCTTTTTGTGAAAGGAAGTTTAAAAGACTTTATTTATTTACTTTTTTTTTAAGATTAAAATTTGTACTTTAAAGGCTTATTTATCTCTTCATTATCTAAAAGACTAGCATAGCCTTTTAGATAAAGCATTATCTTACTATTAGTAGAGCTGAAACATATTTTTGATTAATATGTTTGAGCTCTACTCCTAACTCTGGTTGCAAAAATTTTTTGTTTTTTGCTTTAAATCGTAATTCTTTTGCTAGCTCTAGAATTTTTTATGTTAAACTTAATTCTAAAGTTGATTGTATATCAATCATACTGTTTATAGACAGTTATTTTCTATTACTAGTATCATCGATGTTTCTTTTAAGTTTAATACTAACTTTTTAACTACCTGTAGCAAATTTCACTTCACCTTTTTTGTCTATTTTGTCTTTTATTACAGTATAAGCTATTTGCTTTACTGTCTCGACATCATTTGTAAGCTTTTGCACTAATTGTATTAATTCAACTTATACAAATCTTTTTCCAATTTTAAGCAAAACGATTTTCAAAATACAAGCGCATATAACCATTATTCAGATAACAGCAATTTAATTTGGAGCAGACATTAGCTGATATTGAAAATATATAGATATTAAAAATGGATAGATGTTGGTTTGATTAAACAAATAGCATCAATTAATTAACCGAAATTTGGCTATCTTTTACCAGCATATCTATTTTAATCAACTCAAAAAAATTTTAAGTAATATATTCTCTAACATATATAAAACACACACACACACATATCAACTGACGAGTTTTACCTAGTTTTACCTCTCGGCAATTAATCAAAATTTAAAATATTTAAAAAAAATTCAAAATTACTTATATTTTAGATGTTTTGTAGTGAACTACTAAATCTCAAAAAAAAAAAAAAAAAAAGTTACTTGTCAGCTTTTCAAATAATATAGTACTAAATATTGTACGAAATATAAAACATTTGTGGTTCAGAAGTTACTTAACAAATAGAAAACAATTTGTTGTTGGTAATGACAATTATCACAACACTTGTTTAAGTAGAGCCTGTGGAGTTCCACAAGGTTCAATACTCGGACCTCTCCTTTTTTTTAATTTATATAAACGATTTAAATAAAGCAATTAATCTGATGACCATCATGTTCACTGATAATACTAATTTATTCATCTCTAAGAGCGATATTAGCGAACTTTTTGCCACAGTGAATAAAGAACTTAAACTTTTATCCCACTGGTTCAAATCCAACAAATTAACTTTATATACTGACAAAACTAAATGGACTCTTTTTCATTCGAATAGGAAAAAAAATTTTTTCCCTTAAACTTGCCTCAAATCTTTATTAATGAAATTGAAATAAAAAGAGACTCCGTTATTAAATTTTTAGGTATTTATTTTGATGAGAACATTAATTGGAATCAACATATTAACTATATATGCACTAAAGTCTCTAAAAACATTGAAGTTTTTTTACAAAGCTCGAACTTATCTCAATAAGAAACACTTAAGACAACTTTATTTCTCATTTATTCACTGCTACATAAACTACGCTAGTATTGCCTGAGGAAGTACTAAAAACAGTGAATTACTTCGTCTTTATCGCTGTCAGAAACGAGCAATTCGCATAATTAACTTTGCTGATCGTTTTTCTCACTGTAAACCTTATATTATTGAGATGAAAGTTTTAAATATATTTGAACTCAACGTTTTAAAAATTTTATGCTTTGTTTATATGTGGAAAAACAATCTATCCCCCCCCCCCTCCCAGTCTTTAAAGATTTTTTTGTTTAAAACCCAGCAACAAATACACTCTTAAAATAAAAAATTATTTTAACGAACCTTTTTGACAAACAAATTTTAATCAATTTTGTCTTGCCTATCGTGCACCGCACCTATGGAATAAACTTGTTTTACCTAATGTTGATCGACCAAATTCTTTTTGTCTTTTTGAAAACAAAATTAAAAATCTAATTTTTTCGCTCGATAACAGTTTAGAGTACTATTAATTAATTTATCTATTATTTAACTTTTTGTTATTTTTCCTTAACGTTTTGTTGTTAACAACTATTTATATTTAAAGATTTGCTAATGTAAAAGTTTTTTTAATGTAAAAATAATTTTTTCAGAGAGGACTTGTCTGGTTTTGCAGAATCACTCCTCAAATACCCAGGGAGTATAGATTGCATACAATTATGTTTAATTTCACTAAGAGATATCAATGTTTACGCAAAAATAAAGACTATTGCTTTTTGTAAAACTGTATTATCTTTTACCTTTAAAAAATATTAAAATAGAAATTTAAAAAAATTAGTTAACGGATATTGAATGCATTTAACGTATATCAGACTCAAATATTAAAGAAGAAAACCGCATATTTTCGTATACGACTATTCTGTTTTAAAAACGCGGTTTCATTTCTTAAACTCATTTTAATGATTCTCTAAATATATATATATATATATATATATATATATATATATATATATATATATATATATATATATATATATATATATATATATATATATATATATATATATATATATATATATATATATATATATATATATATTTATATATATATATATATATATATATATATATATATATATATATATATGTATATATATTTATATTTATATGTATATTTATATAATATATATAAATATATATAAATATAATTTTTTTTTTTTTGTAAATTTATTTGCCTTCAGTAAAAGAAATTACAATTACAGAAATATAATCGGCAGGACTTGCAGAAGATCATACGATCATATCATGAAGCTCTTTACAATATCAAATATAATAATAATAATAATAACTATAAAATCAAATGAAGCAATAAAAATAAATCAACATAAACTATATATAACTGTGTATTTAAAATATAAATATAGTGGATAAATTATATGAAATATGTGAAATAAAAAAACTAAAAACAAGAAAAAATATTTTCTGCTGTACTAATAACTTCTTTTAATTTTCGTTTGAAAGAAGTTAAAGTCCATTTCAATGACAAATTTAAATTTGGCAAAACTATTTTATTCCATAAATAAGGACGGCGATAAGAAATAATTAGTTGTTTAAATTTTGTTTTGCAGGTTCTTGTAGATTTTTTCCATTGCGAAGATTGTATTTGTTTCCGGGTTTTACATTATAAAGGTTTTTAAATACATCAGGAGATATATGACTTTTAGATTTAAACATGAAACATAAAATATTATAAACATAAAATTAGTTCGTATACATTTAAGGCTTTCATTTCTCTTAGAAGTGGTTTTGAATTTCAAAAAACGATTTGCAAAACTAATTAAGCGAATTGCGTGTTTCTGATGCTGATAAGAGAATTAAGTTTAATTTTGTGCGCGCTTCCCCAAACAAAATTTGGATAATTTAAATGGCAGTGGATAAATGAATAATATAGTTGTTTTAATTATTGTTTATTTAAAACATGTCGAACTTTATATATAATTCCAATACCTTTAGCAATTTTCAAGGAGATATTATTGATTTGTTGTTTCCAGGATAAGTTTTCGTCTACAAGGACTCCGAGAAGTTTTGTAACTTTTTCCCTTTTTAGTATTGCATTATCAATGAAGAGGTCGGGTATTTGGTGTGTATTTGGTAAGCATTTTTTTCTGGACGTTGAGTAAAAAGGTATCCATTCTATTTTATCAATATTGAGGGACAATTTGTTTTGCTTAAACCAATATGAGATTTTATTTAATTCTTGTATCATTCTATCAAAAAGTGTATTTATGTTTTCATGAGATTGGAATAGGTTTGTGTCATCAGCAAAAATTATAGTGGTTAAGTTAGAGGCTTTGTTGAGCTCATTTATATATATTAAAAATAATAGAGGCCCACCAATGGATCCCTGTTGGACACCACATGTTACATTCATTAACAAAGGCAAATAAGTGTCTTGGATATTAACAAACTGCTTACGATCACTAAGATAGCTTTTGAACCAGCTTAGGGATGTATCTTTAATTCCATATAGTTCTAACTTTTTTAATATAATGTCGTGATTAACAGTATTATAAGCTTTAGACAAATCGATGAATACTCCAAAAGGAATAATGAGAATTTTTAAAAAAATCAGAAATGCTGCGTGTTAGTTGAAGTATGGCGTGTTCAGTAAAATAGTTTCTCTGGAAGCCAAATTTATTATTAAATAAAAGTTTCAACAAAATAATTCTCTGTTATACATAATTCTTTCTAGTATTATAGAGAAAACTGGAAAAACTGATATAGGACGATAATTTGTACTGTTACAATGGTCACCTGATATATAAATAGGAATAATTTTGGCTACTTTTGGAGAATCTGGAAAGGATCCTTGAGCAATTAAAGCTTTACAAATTTTAAATAGTATATCTTTCAAAACTTCTCTATTATAACATTTCTATTGATGCAATCAGCGCAATCGCCTTAATCCGTTTTAATCATTTAAACGCTGCTTTAAATTCGTTGTATGTTAGGTTTGAAAAATTTAAAATTAAATTAGGTGATGTTATAAACTCATAAATCGAATTGTCATTAAGATAGGGACTTTTAATTGATAAGCTTGTTCCGA